CAAGTTTAAAACATGTAGTACAATACTAGACGCTGCTTATGGACACATAAATATACAGTAAAAGTATAAAAACATGTATTACATAATGAACAACAGCAAATTCAGGATGATGATCTCTGGAAAATGATGGGAGTCACAGGATTAAGGGGTGACATGTAGGTACTTAACTGTATTGAACTATTTTTTCTATTAGGTCAAGTGGTAGATATTTGTTAAATGCCTGAATTATTTATAATTTTCTTTTCTGAGACAGAATCTTGGTTTGTCACCCAGGCTGGAGTGCAATGGTGCAAACATGGCTCACTGCAGCTTCAACGTCCCTGGCACAAGTGATCCTCCCACCTCAGGCCCCCAAGTAGCTAGAACTACAGGCTTGTGCCACCACACATGGCTAATTTTTGTATGTTTTGAGGAGATGGGGCTTTGCCATGTTCCCCAGGCTGGTCTCAAACTCGTGAGCTCAAGTGATCTGCCTCCCTTGGCCTCTCAAAGCGCTGGGATTACAGCACTTGGGCATGTATTTTTAAAAACAGAGCTACTAGGAAAGTAACCTCTGAATTCTTCATAGTGACTAAGCTTAAGGTAAACTGAGTTGTATGGACAATAACAAGTGCAAAGAGATAAAACAAGTACCCAGAGATGCCCTTTGTTAACTTCAGGCACTGTTAAGACTAACGCTTGTGCTGCCAGCCAGTCCTGTCAGCGGAGGCATATGCTGCAAATGGCTCTGGAAAGAGTATAACAATTCACGTTCCATGGTATTTTCAGAATGGCCAAGTTATGATTTGATGTCAAATATCTGATTATGAGTTCTGACTTTATCTCTCTCACTTATCTCTCCTTGTCTATGAAAGCCTTTCATATTAAATACGTGATTGAGCATCCTTTTAAAATCTTTTCTATTCTATGCCAGAAAAGGATCTTGGTTGTGTTAATTTTTACTGACATTTATGGGATCATTCTGAAGTGAGGTATGTGGCAATATGTTATCCCACTGAGCACAGAGCATATAACATTTAATACAATGGTGCATGAAATGCCAGAGCAACTTTCCTTCCTTCCACTTGCAAGGATGCTTTCCAAAACCTCTTTTTGATGTGGAATATGCAATGGAGAGGGGGACTCAGCTCTAAGGCAGATCATTAAACATATCTGCCTTGTGAACCCAACTCCCTCCTGAAAATGACCTCTATAGAATGTTAGAGGACACTAAGGGAACAGAGCAGCTCTTAGCATGAAACCACCCAAAATGTTCCACTCTGATCATCATTATGGGGAAGCCAAGTGATGGCTCAACTGCAAAAAGGGGCAGTGGAAAGTCTAAGGCCTGTTTCAGATGCTGGAAGTATTCCAGATCACAGAGTTGCAGCAATGCAATAACTAGAGATGCATTTTCCAGAAAGGTAACTGAGTCATGACTTCTACTATATGTTATTTAGGACTTTTACATATAAATGTCCTATTTCCAAGGCCACTAAGACCACACAAGTTTCATGAACATTCACCTCAAACCTTTCTTAAGCAGTATTTTTATTGGAAAGCTGTCTAATTATGATGAAAAGGAGGCAAAATCAACTGATGCTATAACTAATTTCGGCGGTTTTATTTCTGCTTATTAAAAATCTCTTAGATGCTGTCAAAATCTCAAAATGATCAAGATGTAGACAAGTGACAGGTGAACCTCAAAGACCCAAGTCTAGATGACTAGGTCTCAAACTTTAGCATTGATTAGAATCACCCGAATGACTTGTTAAACCATGGACTGCCAGGCCCCAGCATCAGAGTGTCTGATTCAGCAGGTCTGGGGTGGAACTGGATAGTTTGCATTTCTAATGAGTTCTCAGGTGATAAAGATGCTGCTGACCTCGGACCAGCCTGAGAACCACTGATGGAGATTTTGAGACCCTAGGGAAAGTATTTATCCTCTTTAAACCTCAGTTTATTCACTGGAGAGTATTTGGAAGATTAAATAAAATATCAAGAACTTAGTGTAGTAGTTACACTGGGTGCTCTATTATAAGTGATAGCTGTTTTTAAATTCAACTTTAGAATTTAAAAAAGTCAACAAACTTGCCTATAAATGGCATATAAATTGCACACTCTTTTACCTACTTATTCACCCTCCCTCATTTCAAACAAGGTATCAGTTCTACTTATAAAGGCTGGGACTTCAAAATGAGAAAAAGGAACCATTATCCCAGAAGAAATATGCATCAAGGAACCTACAGGTTCTGAATGACTATTGTGTAAACATTGCTCAAAAAACCGTTTACACAGAGCTTGTTGTGTCTGTGTCTGTGGGGGAGGGAGGGTGGGTTTAATAGGGGAACTTTGGAGGAAGGGTGGGTTTAATAGTGGAACTTTATCTCCTCACACTGAGCAGCAGCAAGAATCTAGGGATTTCCACAATCAAAGATAGGATTTAAATCATAAACACCTTCTTTGAAATAAGCCTGAACATCAGGATGAAAATGTCAAATTTACAGCCTCCCTTCTCTTTTCCATCAAAAATTGTGCCGAAGGAGAAGAGAGGGAAGAAAAAGCTGAGACTGGCTGTGATTATTGCAGTCACAAAGCAGCATTTGCCCTTCAAAGTCTCCTCTTTCTTCACAAAGTCAACACATCCCCTGGGCCCAGTCTCCAAATCAAGTACAAGGTTTGATGAGAAACCTTGAGGAGAAAAGGAGAGAGAAAAGTGGGCAGAATCAGGGTTGGGACTGGACAGAAATGGTATATCCTCAGTTTCCTTTCTATCTCTAGCGGGCGGTCAAAGCCCATAAGCAGATGGGTTCTGTTCCACCCCAGCTCCTGCAGTAGGCTAAATGGGATCAACATTGTCCTACTCCCCTTCCATACACAGCCCTAACAAAGTAATAGCAGCATAAGACATGCGGAGTCCACTGGGCACACAGTGCTGAACCCTGTATCTTCTGCATTTCCAACAGGTGGAGAAGTCTTTCTGCTGGCATGAAAATTCCATACTAATAAGTCAGTTTGAGGAGAAGTTTCTGGCTTGGCACCTAAGCTTTGTAAACTTTCCATTACTGATTTGGGACAAGTAAGTCTTATTTTCTGGCAGGTTATTAACTTCATGTATCATGATTATGATAATGATGACAAAACATCATTATCACAACAATAGATGCTAATCTTGACAACTGAGCAGTGTTTGTTTTTTTTTAGACAGAGTCTGGTCTCACTTGATCGCCCAGACTGGAGTACAGTGGCACGACCACAACTCACTGCAGCCTTGACCTCCTGGGCTCAAGCAATGTTCCCACCTCAGTCCCCTAAGTAGCTGGGACTACAGGCACGCAACACCATACTCAGTTAATTTCTGTATTATTTTTGGAGAGATGGAGTTTTGCCATGTTGCCCAGGCTGGTCTCAAACTCCTGAACTCAAGTGATCCTCCTGCCTCAGGCTTCCAAAGTAGTAGGATTACAGGCAGAAGCCACCACACCCGGCCATACTGTTTTGTGTACCAAATACTTCTGTAATTTTTTCACATGCACATACACCTACTTAATATTTACAACCAACTTATTAGGGAAATAATATCACCATTCCCATTTTATAGATGAGGAAAGTGAGGATCAGAGACGTTAAATAACTCGCCTAAAGGCAGAGCACTAATGAGTGGCAGAATCCAGAGAGCCACTCCAGAGCTCCTGATCCTAATCACTCCACAAGCCATAAAGCTTGACAGACACTGGCTAGGGGGCATGAGTAGACATGCTGAATACACTTTTAGTACTTGAAATCAGGACACAGAGGGGAGAATATAACTGAGACCATTCTGAAATTCAGGGATGTATGGGGAATGTAAAAATGCAGGTGGCCCAGGGATGGTGGAGAAGACCCTCTGTAGGAGAAATGTGGACCTTCAAAGCAGGGGCCTCAAAGCCACTTTGCTTCAGACCCTATGTTGGTCTTAAGCAATATTTTAATCTTACAGTTCCCTAACCTGTAAAAATGGATAGAAATGAGGATTAAGTTTATGAAGTCTAAATTCTTCACAAAGTGCTATCAAAATGTCAGCTCTCATTTTTACGGCAGATCAGCAGTTGCTAGATGGGGCAGACTCGGGAAATCATGTGAGGGCACAATTCTTGAGGACTCATGGCCCAGAGAGAGAACTAACAGAAGGAAGTAGAACCCAACTATGACACTGAAAAAAAGCCACAGAGAACACTAGCTCCCTCTCAAACCAGAAGCATCTAATTAGTTTCTGTCACAGTTCATTTTTTTCTCCACACATGCCTCACGGCCCATGCTAGAAGAATTTCCTACAGATCAATGGTGAGAGTTCAGCCACTCCATTGGAAGCACTGTAAGGATGCTTCCAAATCTCAACATTTTCCAAAACTGGTCTGATAAATGGCTCTATCCACATCCATCCATCTACCTACCTGTCCAATGTTTATTAAGCACCTACAATGTTGCAGTCACTACCTTAAGGTGCTGGAGATATAAGATGATCTCCTTTGATCAAGCCCTTCATCCCATTTTGGCTCCACGACTAGAAACTGGGATGCACAGAGCATTATATATTTGAGGAGTACAGGATGATGAAAACCTTTAATCCTACTCCAGGACATATCCCTGGGATTCCCCCACGCCAATTTGCTGTTATGGACTTCAAGCTTTTCTTTGGATATGTATGATTTTCAAGGACTATAATATATCTGAAAATTTAGGAAAACTAACTTCTTGATAATATTAGGTCTTCCTATTATATTTAAGAGATGGCTTTCCATTCAGCACTTCTTTAAAATATACTGATTTTTAGTAAGTTACATCTAGATTACCAGGTCATTGTCTCATAGGTACTTTTAAAACAAAGCATATAGGAAGCAATGAATAATAACGAAATAAGAAAAGAAACAAAATGAAATCCTGAAAAGCAGAAATATCCCCTATATACCCTGTATCCTCCTCTAGGGGTCTCCATTCCACATTCTATTGATTCATCTGACAAAAACATAAAGAACACTTACTCAGGGCTGTCTGGATATCCTTTTCCCCATTTTTCACTTCTGTCAAAAATCCCTTCAAAAATTTGAGACCTCTAAAACAAAATAAATGAAGAAATATTACTTTCAAAGTTCCCTTATGTTGAATGAGTACAAAGAAACGGCAGACATCAGCTTCCATTTCAGTAACATCTCAGGCACAGCAGTGAATAGGTCAAATCATATGGCATTCCTTCCTGAACCTCTTCCCTTCACTTCCCTTTAGCTTGCTCTGGAGCCCATCCTTCATCTCATCTGATATACCTAAAGAAGTGGTTTTCAAAATGTGTCCCAGGACTAGTGGCTTTAGCATTACCTGGGAATTTGCTAGAAATGCAAATTCTGGGGCCCCATCCAAATTACTCAATCAGAAACTGGTTCTGAGTCTAGTGTTTTTAACAAGTCCTCCAGATGATTCTGATGCCACTGAAGTTGGAGAGCTATTGATTTAAAGAGAAGCCAGTTGACTTTAATGCCTTTAAGATTCCTATCTTATATACTTATTAACAATATTTATCACCATCAAAAGGGAGGCAAAAAAAAGTGGTATTATTCATTAGGCCTTCTAGAAAAGGCTACACAATTCAACTAGATCCTTCACTCAGAAGCAGTCTCCTTTGTGCAACAATTTTTTTTGCTGGTAATTTTTTTTGAGCTAGATTTTAACTGCTGTCCCACCCCAACTGCCTCACCTCTTCAGCCACAAGAGGGCTTCAGTCGCCGAGTTCCTAACCTGGGCTACATCCGCCTCTACTTCGTGCAGCACTATCTTCTGGAGAGTGGTAAACTCTTCTTTGTTGGTTATGTATTTCTGATTTACTTTCTGCAGGGAAAGCAGGGAAACAACCTAAGTTTAAAATGCCGAAGTTATCAAGCAACTCAGTATAGTATTGAGACTTGTAAGTTTGGCAAGCAGGCCTCTAAGAAAACAAATTAAGCTTCTATTACCTTCTTCCTTATGTTTTCATGATAATATTCTTTTTGGAGAATTCTATGTAGCTTAAACTGGAATTAAATAGTCTCAGGGTTTAAAGTTTTGTTCTTTAAGTTCTTTTTTCTGCCTCAGAACCTCTCTCATGGCTGTCTTTGGCAGATACTTTTCACTCTGAGTATAAAACTCAACAATCATTTGTTCTAATAAGACTACTTGCAACTATTCCACCTAAATACAATAAAGAAAGGCATATCTACAGGAATTCCTAATAGTGCTTCCTCAAAGACTAGTCTCCAATGACAAAAAAGACAGATTTTTATTAGGTACTGTATCCTCAAGAAGGTAACATTTAATCTACATTTAAAAGGGGACCCATCCCTTATTTTACCTGGAAGAAAGAGACTCAAGAGAAATTTGGTGAGTTGTTGATGGTCCCACAACTACCACTGGAAATGGGCCTTTTGAGTCCCAGGCCACTGACAGCTATTTTCACTATATAACCTAGCTTTTAGAAAAATATAACTTGTCATCATTTCAACTTAAAAAAGCACAGAATCAGTGTGGACATTAGAGTGAAACCCTACTGAGCCACACAGTGCACATGAAAAGGCAGTCCTGGTTTCATTTTAAAAATGAATCTTCTACTCCCCATAAAGCTTAACTCTAGCATATAATAAAGGCTTAGTAATTCCCTTACTGAGCATTCACAATGTGAGAAGAAAGATGCTTGCTCTCTTAAAGAACAGTGATACATTTTCCACTTTTTGATTTAATCTTGCCAAGCACAAAAATGTTGACAACATTTTCCTTTATTTAAAAGTTTCCACAGAGACAAACCAGTATGCTCACCTTAATATTTCCAACAAGATCCATCTTAACAGGAGCAAACACTGTAGGGCCAAGTTTGTCTAGAAGAAAAGATCAAAAACATTTCTGAAAAAACAATTTTAAGTGGCAATGTTTTTATAATAAAGAAATAATAAATTTAGCAGATCCTCAACAACTTTAATTTTTGCTTCCAAATCATTATCTAAACACCTTCAAAAGCTTCCAGGATACTATTATCATCTTTTTCTATTACACTACTCCAAGGTGAGTTATAATGAGGCCCTAAGTGACAGGTGAGATGAAGACAATCTTATAAGTTTAGGATTCATATAGTAATCCTTAGGGCTGCACTGTCCAATATGGTAGCCACTAGATATGTGGCTAGCTAGTACTTGCAGTCTGGCTAGTACTAACCAAAATGTACTGGAGGTAAACTACATACCAAATTTGGAAGACTAAGTATGAAAAAGAGATTGCAAAATATCTCATTAATGATTCTTTTGGTTTTTTCGTTTGTTTTTTTTTGAGATGGAGTCTCTCACTGTGTCCCCAGGCTGGAGTGGAGCAGCGTGACCTCAGCTCACGGCAACCTCCACCTTCCGTTCGAGCGATTCTCCTGCCTCAGCCTCCCGAGTAGCTGAGATTATAGATGCCCACCACCACACCCAGCTAATTTTTGTATTTTTAGTAGAGACAGGCTTCACCATGTTGGCCAGGCTGGTCTTGAACTCCTAGTCTCAAGTGATCTGCCCACCTCAGCCTCCCAAAGTGCTGGGATTACAGGCGTGAGCCACCATGCCCAAACTTATTAATTATTCTTTTTTTTTTTTTTTGAGATGGAGTCTCGCTCTGTCACCAGGCTAGAGTGCAGTGGCGTGATTTCGGCTCACTGCAACCTCCAACTCCTTGGTTCAAGCGATTCTCCTGCCTCAACCTCCCAGGTAGCTGGGATTACAGGCATGTGTCACCACATTGGCCAAGATGGTCTCGATCTCCTGACTTTGTGATCCACTTGCCTTGGCCTCCCAAAGGGCTGGGATTACAGGCGTGAGCTGCCACGCCCGGCCCAATGATTCTTTTATATTTATTACATGTTGAGATATTTTAGATATTCTAGGTTTTAAAATACATTATTAAAATTAATTTTTGTTTACTATGATAATGTGCCTACTAGAAAACTTAAAATTACATATGTGGTTGGAATATTTCTGCAAGAACAATGACTAAAAAATAAAACAAAGAGGTATAGCTAAAAAGCCAAAAGAGAAAAGATAGTGGAACTCTAAGAAGAAAAAAAAAAAAAACTTGATTGATCTAAAAGAAAGGCAGGGACAAAGATAGGTAGCTAAGAGGCCAAAAGAGGAAATAAAACAGAATACTAAAAAAAAATTGATTAACTGGTGAGAAATCAGGAAAGGAGTTTTTAAAAAGGGAACAAAGAACATATAGAGAAAAGCAGAAAATAAGTAGCAAGATGATAGAAACAAATATCAAGATAATGAATGAAATTCATCCAAACAATGTAAGTCACTACATTAACAAATTACAGGAAAAAAAAAATGACTTCAGCAAATAAAGAAAAAACATTTTATAAAGTTAACTCATTCATGATTATAAAAACAACTCAGCATATAAACACAATTTATATGTACATGCTATTAATAATTGGAAAATGAAATAAAACACTATTTACAATAGAATAAACAAAAAATTCTAAACTTTATTCCTAACAAAAGATGTATGATAGCTATACACTAAAAACTATATAGAACATTCTTGAGAGAAAATTAAAATGACTTAAGTAAACAGATATAGCATCCTCATGGATTGGAAGATTATCAGTGTTTTTCTTTTTGAGACAGGGTCTTGCTCTGTCACCTAGGATGGAGTACAGGGTGCAATCACGGCTCACTGCAGCCTTGATATCCCAGGCTCAGGTGATTCTCCTGCATCAGCCTCCCAAGTAGCTGGGACTATAGGCTTGCGCCATCACACCTGGCTAATTTTTTTATAGGGACAGGGTCTCACTTTGTTGCCTAGGCCAGGATCAAACTCCTGGTCTCAAGCGATCCTCCTGCCTTGGCCTCCCAAAGTGCTGGGATTACAGTTATGAGCCAGTAAGCCCTGCCTTCAATGTTGTTTAAGATGCCAGTCTTCCCCTAATTGGTTTCCAGATACAATGTAATCTTAATCAAAATCCTAAAAGACTTTTAAATAGGAATTGAACAGCTAAAATTTATCAAAAGGCCTAGAATTTCCAGAACAACCTTGAAAAAGAAAAAACTGAGAGACTTACATTATCTGATTTCAAGCCTTATAATTAAGATACCATAAGATCACTGGAACAGAAGAGAGAGTCCAGAAACAGTCCCACATTATAAGCATTATAAGTTCAACTGATTTTTGACAGAGTTGCCAAAGCAATGTAAAAGGGAAAACATATTTTGACCCATGGTTCTTGAGCAACCAGATACCACAAGGGGGAAAAAAAAAATGAGCCTCAACTCCCTACCTCACACCACACACAAAAAATAATTCCAGTGGTTCATAGGCACAAATGTAAAAGTTAGAGGAGTCTAGAAGAAAACAGAATATCTTCATGACCTTTGGGATAGGTAAAGATTTCTTAAGACACTAAAAGCACTAAGCATAAAAGAAGAAACTGGACTTCATCAAAATTTAAAACTTCTGAAAAGGCATCATTAAGAAAAGGAGGAGGCAAGCCATAGTCTGGGGGAAAATACTCACATGTCTACAATGAAATTTTAATTAAAAATATATAAAGAACTCTCCCAACTCAGTAATAAAAAGAAAAACAATTGACTTTTAAAAATGGGTGAAAGATTTGAACAGACATTTCACAATGGAAGAGATAGTGATGGCCAATAAAAGTGCTCAATATCATTAGTCATCATGGAAATGCAAATTAAAGCCACAATGAAATATCACTGAGACATGCAGGAATGGCCAAAAACAAAATATTGACACCACCAAATGCTGGTGAAGACGTGAAACAACTAGAATACTCATACACTATGAACAACTGTGCAACTATTATAACTGTCTGGCAGTTTATTATAAAATTAAACTATGAACCAGCAATTCCAGTCCTAGGTATTTACTCAAGAGAAATGAAAGCATAGGCCCATGGGCACAAAAATGTTCAGAGCAATTTCATTTATAATAGTCCCAAACTGGCCAAGAGCGGTGGCTCACTCCTGTAATCCCAGCACTTTGGGAAGCCAAGGTGGGCGGATCACATGAAGTCAGGAGTTTGAGACCAGCCTGGCCAATATGGTGAAACCTTGTCTCTACTAAAAATACAAAAAAAATTAGCCGGGCATGGTGGCACAGGCCTGTAATCGCAGCTACTCGGGAGGCTGGGGCAGGAGAATCACTTGAACCCAGGAGGTGGAGGTTGCAGTGAGCCAAGATAGTGCCACTGCACACCAGCTTAGGTGACAGAGCAAGGCTGTCTCAAGAGAAAAAAAAAAAGAGTCCCAAACTACAAACCACCCAACATCCATCAATAAGAGAGTGAATAAATAATTGTGGTATATTCATTTAATGGAATACTACTTAGCAATAAAAAGGAATGAACTACTGATACAGACAACAAGGATGAATCTCAAAAACATACTGTATGAGAAAAGCCAGAGGCAAAAGAGTATAATATTCCAGTTATTTCAAGTTTCAGAATAGGCAGAACTAACCTATGGTGACAGAAATCAATAAAGTGGTTATTTTAGACTGAGTGACACAGGGAACGTTCCAGGATGATGAAAACATACTATTTCTTGATAAGGATATGGATTACAGAGATAGATGCATTTGTCAAAATTCACTGAATCATAACAGTTAAGTCCTACACAAGTTATACCTCAATTTTTACAAAAGATGTATAGTTAAATGGGTCATAAAGCAAATTTCAACACATTAGCCATTCTTGGTATTACTGACTTTATACAAGTAAAAGCGAATTTGACATAAACTTTTTTATATATATAAACACTATATATAATATATAAAATGATATATTTGTTATATATATATAAATTACATATAATTTAAATGTTACATATAAATTTTCATAGATATATTTATTATAAATATAAATACAACACCTATATATACACATAACATATATACATATACATTTTTTTTTTTTGAGACAGGCTATCTATCGTCCAGGCTGGAGTGCAGTGGCGCAATCTCGGCTCACTGCAACCTCTGCCTCCCAGGTTCAAGTGATTTTCCTGCCTCAGCCTCCTGAATAACAGGGATTACAGGCATGCGCCACCATGCCCAACTAATTTTTGTATTTTTAGTAAAGACGGGGCTTTATCACGTTGGCCAGGCTGGTCTCAAACTCCTTATCTCAGGTGATTTGCCTGCCTCAGCCTCCCAAAGTCCTGGGATTACAGGCGTGAGCCACTGTGCCCAGCCATAACATATATTTTATTTATTTACATATATATATGTGAGATATATATGAGATTATGTGTGAGATATATGTGTGAGATATGTGTGTGATATATGTGTGATACGTATGTGATATGTGATATACATGTGATATATATGTTTTACATATATATCTAGAGAGAGAGAGAGAATGTATCTTTAAAAAATCTTTGAAAATACGTATTGGAAGCCGGGCGCAGTGGCTCAGGCCTGTAATCCCAGCACTTTGGGAGGCCGAAGCAGGCGGATTAGGAGGTTTGGAGATGGAGACCATTCCGGCAGACACAGTGAAACCCTGTCTCCACTAAAAATACAAAAAAAGTAGCCGGGTGTGGTGAGAGGCGCCTGTAGTCCCAGCTACTCGGGAGGCTGAGGCAGGAGAATGGCATGAACCTGGTGGGGTGAAGCTTGCAGTGAACGGAGATCCCGCCACTGCACTCTAGCCTGGGTGGCAGAGCCAGACTCCGTCTCAAAAAAAAAAAAAAAAAAAA